GCAACATTATCAAGGGATGAGGCAGCTAGGCAGCAAGTTTGGTCTCATATGAACACAGATCCCTTCCCATGCATGCAACTCGGTCAAAAACAAAACAAAAAAAAAGGTTGGTACTGTGGGGTAGGGTAGGGTCAACTTTGTCAAAACAATGTTATTGGGAGAGCTCACTACTGGTCCCACATGCCAATGGCACATCTACTCTACGTTATGATATATGGACTCTATTTCCGACATCAGCAATTGCAACATGAATTTGTACATTGTGCTAAGACACCTTTTTGGAGATCCACCAAGACAAGTGCTAATGCACAGTGACCACATAATATATACTAGTAGGACCATAGCAGAATCGCAGCAGTTTACAAACAAAACGGCTACCACCAGATGCATAAAGAGTGAAACAATTCTGTTCCAAGATCCACAGTCTCAAACTGAGCATGCTGAATCAAGTTTGGACACGCTGAACACATGCCGGGCATTATCACGTTATGTATCTGCACTACTTCGGCAGTTTCAGAACCTCAGACTGTCTTCCTTTTGTATTCTGAAGTTGGTCAGCAAAGGAAAAATACAATGTAAGAAGCAACACCAAGTTGGAAAGCTGCCCGGGTTTTTGTTAGGATGCAGGCCTTTAAAAAGGGACACCGAGTTACACCATTTACTATTGTTGCAAGTAGCTCTTGCAACCAAGGGGGTGGGGAAAGAGGTCTGTGTTTCACCTTCTGCATTTGACAGCACTTTGCCTGCTCCTTTTCACTGTTTTCCCTTTTTTGTTTGTGCAGGTTTCCACACGACATGCGAGGAGGACAGGCATTTTATAGAAAATAACCTGACAATTAAGAGGCACATGAAATACTGGAGTTCCTCTATACCTTTGCATATGAAAGACTAGAAGTCTCTCTCCACTTTTATTACCAAGGGATTTCAAAGTGACCTCCCTTTTAGGAGAAGCACTACAGCTTTGGACTAAAGGTAACTGCCAAGGTGGCTGTATGCCACAAAAAGCTGACATCTTTGCACAATTTCAAAACATACGGGTGAAATCCATGCTGCATAACTAACAAGAACTTGAATACCGGTATTCATTTGTTTTCCAGCCTTTGTGTTTAGCTACTGAGCCAAGCTGTAGACCATACAAATTAACAGGAGTGCCCCGAAAGTCTGCGTGGCAAGCTGCCGCTTTGGAGCTCGGTAGTAATGATGGCTTTTTGCTAACCTATGTAAGGTAGACTAATCTGTCCATGTCTGCATTGGAAAACTAGTATTCAAAGCAAAATAAGACAAGGTATGAAGGATGTGGTAAATGAATGTCCTGCTCAACGTTAAACAGGGTAGATGTAAAAGAAAGAAAAAAGGAGAAAATCCTGCTGGACTGGTAAAGGAAAATCTATACACACACTTGCTGAACTGCAACTGTGAAACACCTAGAAGAAGGATTTTTGGCACTGCAAACACAGATGTTTCACCAGCACTAAATACATGTTTAAGAAATGAGGGAAGGAGGGAGGAGAATGTAGTCTGAGGAGGAAAACCCCCTATGCAAGTCACTTTGTAACACATTTGTCTCCTGGATGATACAAGTTAACTATTCAAGTAACACAGCAGTATTACAGATGTGGTTCAGTAGGATTCCAAAACAAACAAAAAGTGTTACTTCTTTTCCAAGCCTATATAACATTCAAGTAAGATGAGGAAATTTGGATACAATGTTGTAGTGGATGGTTAAATACATCTACTTTTGACCTGCAAAGCCTTTATCTTGCAAAAAGCTGACATTAGTGTCTATTAAAAAAACAGAACATGATGCAGTATTTTGGCACAAATGCTCAGCAGCTTCACATTCAGCTGATTTGGCTTCTGTACTGTGAAAGCTAATTTTCTTACTGGAATACATTTCTTCATGGGGCTTTAAAAACAACACTCTCAGTAGAACAACCCCCCCCCCCCCCCAAACCCAAAAAAAAACCCAAAGGTTAAAGAGTAGTGGGAACCATGCGTCTGCCAGTTACTTCCTAACCACACTGCATCATCTTTACCTAAGCAAGGAGGACCTCACAGAAAAGAGAATTAATGATGAAGTGTCCAGTAAAATCCGTCTAAAATGGTGGATAACAGATAAACTTTTAAAAAGTGCAAACCCTACAAGGACCAATAAACTAACCCTAATGTGAGGGGGCATTTTAAAGAGGTCTTGTAAAAGAGATCACATCTACTCAAAGAAGTTTGCCTGCTTTGGCCCCAAGCTGTACACTTCCTTCCTCCAGATCAGAAGGCGCATGTGTGCATCCATCATCACCCAAATTCTGCATTACAAGACAGCAATCCTGAACGGCGTTCCCCCCTTTAATAACCTGCAGAAGGGCAAAGCAAACGCGCACGGCGAAATGCTGCGTTTCGGAAGCACGGCAGTTGCTCTGCGGTGGGGCGATTCACCGAATCGAAGACTGAGCAGGTGAAACAAGGTGGCACTTATATCTTAAGAACAGAGTGGTCTGGGCGGCGCGTCTCGCTCCAAAACAGATCCGAATTAAAGACGTCCCCGCCAACGCTGCTGCGCGAAATAAGTCTTTTTAAATTGGACTTTGCAACAATCCATGCCAGGAGGAGGAAGTTAACCAAAAATAAATAAATAAATAAATAAACAAATAAATAAATGGATATTAAAAAAAAACAAAAACAAACCAACCCCTGCCTCTTAGACGCCCCCATTTGGATCAAATCCTAAAATCTGCCCCTGGTGAAAATGGGGTGCAGGGGCCTTGAGCCTGCAGCCCTGATATTAATCCATTAACACACACACACACACACACACACACACAGGAGACCTACCTTCCCGGAGGGCCCTGCCCAGGAAGAAGGCGTCTTCCCCACTCATCGATAATGCGCTCCCTGCCTCGGGAAGCTGCAGCAGGCATTTTGGATCATCACCCCCCCACCACCCGACCCCCCCGAAAACCCTGCATTACGCAAACGACCTTCTCTGTCCCCCCTGGAGCACTGTGGGGCCTGGATAACAACCCCGCGCCCATCCACCAGCATCGCTGCGCAGTGGGGGGAGGCCCGAGCCGCCCCTCGGAATGTTGCAGCCGCATGGAACGCTGGCGACCGCGACGTTCCATTTCGAGGTACCAACGTTCGATTTAAAGACACAGGCTCCTGCCAGCTGCCAGGGAAAGCAAGCCCCCTGCCACCACCAGCCCAGCCCACTCCGGGGATCGGGACCCCGCTTTTCTGTTTAAATCATCAAAAAGGATAAAA